ACAAAGAGGCATTCATTCACAATTTTGGAATTATGAGCCTGTACAAGATGTTTTACTTTAAAACATCAGCAGTTGTTTTCAATAAAGGCTAGGTATTTCAGAAGTGTCTTTGGAAAAGCAGCAAAACGGTTTTTTAAACAACAATCTTCATTCTGACTTAAGCCTCCTGTTCTAAGAGGTGTAACAAAAAGAATTAACGAAGAATGCTACTGGAGAAATGACATCTATCCTTTTAGGAAAATTCAACAAAACATAACAACGACACTCACATTGTTGAAAACAGATGGTATGAGGTGTAGAAAGAGTACTGCCTGATTGGAAAAATCTAATTGAAATGGTCTTTGAGAAGATTTAAGCTACACACTAAATAGTGATGTGTATCAGAGGCAAAATAATTGCACTGTAATTTTCACCATTTTCTATGCTACAGCAGTTTAGAATTGAGAACAACTTTCAGATGTCTGTGATTTAAGGGCAATCGTGATTGGTTATAACCCTAAATTGTCTAGTTAATTTGTTGGTTATGTAACTAGTGGCAATGGAATGCAACTTGAGATGAGATTGTGGGATGTTTCCATTACAAAGGGTATCCAATACTTAGGTATGTAGACGTTTTAAAATTCTTACAATCAACCATCTATTTCTCTTTTGGTGGTAGCCCATGAGACTGCCTTTGTTATTTTGCTACCTACAATAATGTGAGACTGCATGAGACTGTCTTCATTATTGTGCTGTCTACAATATTGTACTTGTCAAAAACACTGCTGAGTTTTTCATATTAAAATGAGATGATACAAATTATGTAGATGAACCTAAACATTTATTCAAAGATGCATCAAATATATTTTGGCTTTTGCCGAACTTAACCACTGTACAATTCAACGGATGCAAGCAGAACTTTCCACTAACAATGGGCTGATAAATTGTTATTTCTCAAGTATCAAGTTAACTGTTAAGAGGTTACAGCATGCCATCCAAATACCATGCAAATGATTGATTAATATTGCAAATACTGGCTAGTCAGGAATATTTAAATGTTTGCATACATAAGCAACCGAGTGTCTATCTTTTTTCAACCGTAAAATTGGGTTTATTCTGAACAAAAAGGGTAGGAAACAGATTAACATGGTGGGGCATGTGCTCTAAAATATTTCTAATATCCTCTTTGAACAGCAGGAAAACACTCTTACAGCCAAAACAAATCCTCAAAACATGCGACGCTGTGAGCTGATTATTATTTTACATACAATCGTCACAAAGCTAAGACAAACACTCCACTCACGCTGCGCAATTTCCCACGCGAATAAATTATTTTGGTGAGCAACAGAAAACAGCTAAGCCTTAAAAATGAAATAAGTTCCTAAACTCAAAAAAATTGTAATTAAAACTTCCTCTTCATGAAAATAGGATCATAGTGTCGCTCTCCCAGTGTTTTATCACACGAGTTTCATATTACGCAACTGGAAAATACCACGCTCCTTACGAAAAGCACGCGAGAAGGTTTTTAGAATTTTGTTGCTGGAAAAAACAGGTCAATAAATGGTCCTTGATGATAAATTTTTTCTTTTAACGGGAACCACTGGCCAGGAATGACCCTGGCTACATTCTATGCAAATTCCATCCCGCGCTTGGGCGACTATTACACCGTCTGAAGCGACAATGCCAGAAATGCAAATCAAGTTGACCATGAATTTACGACATAGATGATTATTACGAAACATAACTCACCTCAACAAGATCTTCTTTAGAGAAGAACTCAGACACAATAACGTTTTTGAGATCAGAAATTCTTGTTAACGACAGATGAAGCCTTCCACTGGCGAGTTCATGTGCGTTGGGAGGCAGAATCCTTTCGAACGATCGACGAAGAGTTCTGACGACATTGAAGCTTGGATGAAGGGGTCCTAGCGTTAAAGAATTCGCTCTTTTAGCCAGTCTGATTACAAACTCAGCACTGTCACTAACATCTAAGTCTAAAAGCAACGCAATTGCGGCAAAGGAACCAGCACTCGCGCCGCCATAACATTTTACTCGTTTCAAGAGCGCCGGAGCGTTTTCTTTCAAGCAAGACACAACTCCGAGATGATAGATTCCCAAAAAACCACATCCAGAAAACGTTAAATTCAGATCTTGGACTTCAGCCATGACTAAAAATTGTCCTCTTGACTTTTAACAACGGGAATTTAAGGCGAAATATCACTAGAAAACGAAGAACAATTCGACAGACATCATGGTGAGCTCGATTGCGTCGATAAATATAGTTTCGTTTTGCGTGTTGTACGCCTAGTTGCCGCCCCTCTCAATCCCACGTACGTCCCCTTTTCTGATTGGCTGTCAGCTCAAGATTTCTTTAGGGAACCAATCAGATACGAGCATGACTAAGCCCTTCTGGCAGTTGATGAAAACGATGAAACAAGATCGTCAAACCGGTTTTGTGTCAAGTAAACAAAACGTGACAAGAAATACCTGTTGGTTTCTCTTCCTTCTCCTTCACGTGAGATTCGTGATGTATGCCTCCAAGGGAAAGGAGGGATACTGGAATATTTTTTTCAGTGTCAATTTTTATTTACAAGATTACATTGCAGTTTTTGATGGCTTTTTTTTCTTTGAAAATCTGATGCTCCGTTTAACGATGCATTTTGTCTGAAACGTTGGCGCTCTTCATACAGTCATTTCCGGTCCTCGCGTGCGTCAAGATGCAGTGTCTTGTGACCGCAAGAAGAGGAAACAGTTTTCTTGTTATCGTGCTGTTGGTTTTTTCTTTCTTTTCCTGAACATAAAGGTTACTTTGGGGATAAAACATTAATGTCATTAAGATTTTTTCAAAGGCCATTGCATGTCAAACCCCGTCAGACATTCGGCAACATTTCATAATGCAGCCATCGGGGGGTCAGTCCGTCTTTCTGTTTGTTGCGAACAAACTTTACCCGTTGGCAGACATCTGGGGGGCATTTGCAGAAGTCTTTTAAGGGTAAATATGGCAAGAGAAATCCCATAGATGAGAGAGGAGAAAAGTAATTTTGTTTTGCACGTTTTTTTTTCTTTTGTTCGTAAAATAGCGCTAAGTTCAGAAAAAAATGTCACGTTTTGATTTACTTTATTTCATGTAACAAAAACCTCGTTCTCTCAACGGGCTTGAATATGCTATACATATGTACCAAAAGAAAAGGGGCGGGACAAAAAATGGAAAATTTTTCCATTAGGTGTATTAGGTGTTAAAACAGGCTCCAGAGAAGAACTTCCAAGTTTTAAAGGATGCTACGTGATCTAGCATAATGCACAAAACTCCAAAGGCCCGTGAAGGCACCTAAAGGCGCTGTTATGGTGCATGTCTACACATACAACCCAGCTATACAACCACAATAACATTTCAGATACTCTTTTGTTATAATCATAATGCCAAAGTGTTTATTAAAAAAGCAATCTGTGTGATTTTTTTTTGTCTCAACAAACTTTCATTCAAGTGGGGCTTACAAGCTGTAATCTTTTTCAAACATAGCCAACAACAATAATTTAGTCAGAACGTCACGTGAGTCACAATAAAGACCTTGTGTGGCATGTGAAGGAATTCTCTCTCTCCGGCGTGCACTAGCATAGAGCCAGTTTTACAGAACACTGGGTGTGTGCGTTTTGTTCTGGTCTTAGCCTATCGCGAGAGCGTAAAAAAAATAATAAAAAAACGCGGAGAGAAAACTCGGGATTGATAAAAGCGCTATCTTCGTGGATTAATTATACACTATAACTGTTTTGATTAAAAATCATCTGTCTTCCTCATAGATTAGTAGTCACTTCCACTGGGTATTCACTTCACCCGTCAAACTCTGTCAATAACAAGTTCTTGCACGCTTCTCTTTTCAATGCTCATTTGACTTTCGCAAGCCAGGATCACCAAAGTGAATTATCTTTAGTTTACCCAGTAAACATGGAAAGTTTGTTTTATGCCGCGACAAGCCTAATCATGCAGTTAATCCAGGAAATGAGTGAATGGATTTCCAATGTAAAGAATATTTCTCAGCGTTAGCTTATCATAATTCCTAACTTTTGAGACGCGTCGGAAGTGTTTTTCATACTGAAACCTCTTTTCGACTTAATCCTTTGTAGTAGGGGGTAGCTATTGCCAACCATTGTTATGATGTGGTGTACAAGATTTGTAATTCTAAGGCCGCTATTTAGTAATCAGACTTCTGTTTTGTTATCTGAAAAGAGTAATTTGGTATTATCAACTGAGTTGATAACGTAAATTGGCCATCGTAAAGAGTTTCATAGCTGACGTTTCGAGCGCTAGTCTTTTGTCAGATAACGACCACCAACGCTCGAAACGTCAGCTTTGAAACTCTTAAGGTGGACAATTTACGTTATCAACTCAGTTAATGATACCAAATTACCCCGTTACACTCTCCCACCGACGCAGCACCACAGTTTCTCTAAAAACTTACCCCCTTTATTGTTATTTAAACAGATGGCCTATAAAAAGCTTAATTTTACTTATTGAACTAAACTAAGTTGGCTCAAAAGGTTTTTTGACGTATTAAATCCCGCAAAGTCGATGCAACATCGTGGTGCACGTGCGATATCTGTGAAACCTTTGTTAGCACCATCAGTATATGGATTCTCTTTTCCCAAATTGCCTACGCGAGGTTCTACGAACATCGCATTTGTGATTTTATTTGATTAAAGTTTGTCTACATCTCAGGGATGTATCATTTTAGGGCCATTTTCACGAACAATTTCTAGCTTCCAATCC